TTGAACCATGGTCGGCCATGTGGGAGTGTCTAGCACCTTAACCACCACACCACCTGCTGGTCCCAAGAGAACCAGCTTCTTCTAACAAGAGCTAGAACCCCCTGGGTCTCTTGAGACATCTATTTTTTTTTTAAAAAGAATTATTTATTTAAATGTATCCATTTATTTTAATTTGAACAGAGACAGACAGAAGGAAAGTGAGAAAGCAAGTCACCAGGTCCGGGACTCAAACCATGGTTGGCCATGTGGGAGTGCCCAGCGCCTTAACCACCATGCCACCTGTTGGTCCCCGAGACATCTATTTTTGAGACTACTGACTCCATGATGCACTCACCGCTCACTAGGCTCACCAACTTCCAATATCAAATTCTAAAACATGAAAACTTGAGGGGAAAAGACATCATCCAAACTATTAACAGAAGATTCTGAGTTTGTGTCCAGAGATCTCTCTGAACATGTTGATGCTCACATGCTCATGTTCTAAGGCTGATGATGGGGGTGGACTGTGGCATGAAGAACCAGGTGGATCTTCTCTCTGTCTCATTCATAGAAGAAAAAAAAAACAAAATAAAAAACACCCCCCCCCCCAAAAAAAAGGAAGGAAAGAAACAAACTAGTTGTGATTTCACTTCCTGAAAATGATGGCAAGTTGGTGTGGCTAAAATATGTATTATCAGAACTGAAAAGTGTTTATGATTCACAGGGACACCCTCTATACCAAGTTACACAGCCGAAGATTTCATAAATCTTTGAGATGGAAAAGATGACTCTTATTTTTACCCACTCCAAGTTGCCCTGACACCTATCAGAGAAGGTTTCCAAAGCCTTTCCATGGCTTCCATGGGGCCCGTCCAACTCACTTCATTGTCTGCCAGCACAAATCTCAGCATTTCTTAAAAAGCAAAACAAAACAAATCTACACATAAATACACATCATCTTCTGAAATAGTGACTACAAATAAAAGAACATACTCTTGGAATTTCATAGAGACCATAAAGTAGAAGAGACTACACTGTTCTTA